TTATTATTAATATTAATATTATTATTATTATTATTATTATTATTATTATTATTATTATTATTATTATTATTATTATTGCATTTTTGTTTATACATCTATGCTAAAATAATAATTAAAAAAAAAAGTAAATATTTTTTTTGTAAAATATTGAATTAATATAAAAGTAAAACAAAATTATATACAACAAAATAATACTTTTGCGTATAATTATGTCGGTTTAATAGTTATAGTGCAATTTGACGATCAGTAACGTGCAATCCGTCTAACACTAATGTTCAATCTAAGTGTAATTATTTTTTAACAACTTGATTCAAACTAAACCAACACCGAAATAATTAATTTTATCAATATGCTAATTTAATTAAGATAATTAACATTTATTTTTTTTAAAAAAAAAATGAAGTTGTTACCGAATTGAACTACGGATATTATGTAGATATATTTTTTTAGATTTATATCGCTTGATATTTTGGCGGGAATTATCGACGTTTAATTGTGAATTGTCGTGTAAAGTGGAACGCGATGTTTTATAAAGTGCAACGTGTTGTTTATAAAGTGCAACGTACTATGTATAAAGTTAAACTACTGTAAGTTTGGTATGTTAGCATTTTTTTTTTTAACAGATGACGTGGTATATGATAAAACATTATGCTGATCCGTTTTCTAAATTTATGTTGTGTTGTATTTTGGCGGAAATCATTGATGTTAATTGTGGAGCGTACTGATAAAGTGTAGCTTGTTGTTTTATAAAGTGCAACATGGTGTTTTATAAAGTTCAACATATTGTTTTATAAAGTGCAACAACGATTTTGCTTGTTTTATAAAGTGCAACATGTTGTTTTATAAAGTGAAACGTATTGTTTTATAAAGTGCAACAGTAATTTTTTACAAAGTGAAATACTTTATAAGATTACATATAAACTATGTGTATTCGACAAATATTTTTAATAGACATAATTGTAAAAATAATTAATTTAAATAATTTAAATACTTTTATTAGCTATTATTATTATTATATAAATTTTTTATTATTATAACATATTTTATATTATTTTTATATTAAGTTACTTTTATTTGATAATTTATTTATTATTTATAATATGTGTATAACAAAAACATAAAAAATAATTTTATTAACTTTCAATAATTACAGATTTGGCATGTAGGCTTAATTGAATATAATTAAAATCTTAAAACTACAATTAGGTCCCTAAACTTAGCTAATTCTCAAAAGATTTTGCTTGTTAGCTTATCCAAAATAAATTATTTTGGTTATTTATGTTAATTCGGTTAACCAATAAAATAAATAGACAAATTCTTGTTGCTTTAGTTTTGGTTAGGGCAATTCATAAAAAGTACATACGCTATTGCACTATTGTGTTAGACGAATGGCACAATAAGGACCACTATATTGCACTATATCGGACGAACACGACCAAACTAAGTGTTTGGGTCCAAATTTTATAATTTGATTCGATTATCTATTTTTACTTTTAAAATTTTGTTTATTAATTCGGTTCGATGTCAGCTTTATTTTTTAAAATAACTGAACTGATCAATATTATAAAAATATATTTTTTTTGTTATGTATTTGTTTTAGATTTTTAAACCAAAAGCAATATAAAATATTAAATAAAATATTGAAATATTAAATGTATTTTCATAATATCAATTCTAAATTGTTTTGATTATTTATGTTGATTCGGTTAACCGAACAAATAAACTGACTATTTCTTTAAATTTCAGTTTAATATGGGCCATACCATAAATAATTCATGAACTTTGTTTGCACTATAGTGTTATATAAATTGCACATTAATGACTATTGAATTCCACCATAGTTCCCGAATCGATCGAAATAAAATCATCGGTTTAAAATTTTATATTTCATTACAAATATTTATTTTTATTTTTGAAATATCGATCATTTCAGTTTGATGACGAATTTATTTTTAAAATAGCTGAATTATTATAAATATAAATAAACAATTTTAACATCTTAAATATAGTTTGAGTATTTATAAATTAGGCACATAACCTACTACATTAAATTTTATGCAATTGCAGTTAAATTTATAAGATTTTCAAAACAACCCCCAAA